GAAATCGCAATGATGTTACCCAAGTAGCTAATGAAATTTCCAAATGATATTGCCCAAGTAACTAATGAAAATCGCAATGATGTCGCCCAAGTAGCTAATGAAATTTCCAATGATATTGCCCAAGTAACTAATGATATTGCCAATGATATTGCCCAAGTAACTAATGAAAATCGCAATGATGTCGCCCAAGTAGCTAATGAAATTTCCAATGATATTGCCAAAGTAACCATTGAAAATCGCAATGATACTCACCAGATAATTAATGAAATTTCCAATGATACTGGCCAGATAAGTAATGAAAATCACAATGATATGCCTTTGTAAAGATATGAAATTGGTAATAAGGCCTTGCCTCCATTTAATGAAAAAAGCGCAGGCTTTATGATAATGAAAAGACATGGTAACAGGAATGATTCCCTATCATAAAGAGTGTGGATGGATACACAGGGAGCCATAGGCAGTTACCTTGTTTTTATGATAAAAGTGCTAGCCACTAGTGAACGGCCAGCAGCAGTCGGGAATGTAACGTGGTCCCTGACGGTGAAAGAAGGTTAATAAACAGCCTCATAATGAACGGGCAAAACTTACCGAGTGAGACATACTTCCTCCAATTATGGTGACCGAAATGGTCATCAAGCGTGTCATGCCGAGATCCTGGGCCCATCTCCTTGGTACTATTGGCCACTCGGTTCATCTCGGCCCAACTCCGCTCAATCCCCTCGCCATCAGTTCGCCCCACACCTGGCTTGAAGTCCAGTGAATGCGGTGCTTGACATGGTAGTTTATGCATGGGGCAGTGGCACTTAGGTATGCCCCAATTGGTGGAAACGCCATCGGGTAATTTTAGGTGGTCGGGGAGAGCTTCCATGTGGTTAAAAAAATTAACTTTGAACTGGCAGGCGATGTCATATGATATAAAAATGCCGAGGACCAGTACGGGAGCGAGCCCCAACAGCAGGATGTAATCCATGTTGCAATATGTGATCGTGTTCTATTAGCTTCGTATTGTTACAATCAAAGTGGACAAACCTTTCTCCCTTCTGGAGATCGCCTACTCCACCGCTTCTTACAATTTCGTGACGGGCGCACAAAGCCATGCCGACCCCTGTTGAGCGCAGCCCCGCTGAAAATTTGGTTTCAGCATGGGCCAAGGTTCTGAATCTGCTGCAAGAGCTAATCTGAAAAAAGGATTTCATTAGAAACCATATGTGGGAGAATTGAAATGAGCTTACATCCTTTTGTGTCGTGTACTTCAAAATGTGCTTGCAGTATGGCTCGTCGTCGGTGAAATAAGCCATTCCGGTATGTAAGCCAGGGTCCTTCTTGATCGACAACCGCATCAGGTTCTTCAATCAAAAGTTCGCATCGAAGGCTAGGATTAAAGTATAAAGAAACTTGTAAGATTGTCAGATAAGTAGGACCAAGATGGCAGGAAGTCATACCTCATTTCTTTGGGAACTTGTTCCCATTCATTTTGCAGATTGATGCCGGGAATCGGACAAGCAGGACAAGGGACGGTCAAATCCAAGTGACTGGTACTAATGAGACCATTCTTGATGTCTCCCCGACCGTTGCGCTTCATCAGTTTCAGATGGCGGAACTCATGTATCATACGCATAAATGATTTGTAACGTGTCTGGAAGAAAACATCACTTTCCGCCAAACATTCAAAGGCTCGGCTTACCTTAGGAACATTGAGGCTAGTGTTGTCCGTGAGATGCTCGAGCGCTTTGTAGAATTCATGAGCTGACAGCTTCCCAGTAAGGGTGACTGTGTGGAAGAGCTCGAGTAGGCGAAAAGTGGCGCAAGTCTGTGGGTAGTGGACAGTTGCCGGATACCACTCGACTCGGAGTAGTTGTTGCCGACTTGTTATGCGGTGGTCACAGCCACAAAAATCGACCGCGACGTAGTGTAAGCCGTTTGTATGAAGGACTATAAAGTCCTTGTGACCTGGCCTCGGGACCAGGCAAGGGGAACCCATGTGCCCGAGTTGCACACGTAGTCCCATATCCCTCAGTGTTGTTTTTTGGAAGAAAGTCTGGTTCCATTCCTACGTGGGTCAGCACTAGATCATCCAACAAAAGTGGAAGTCGTACCTGGATGATGTGAAGTGGCAGGTAATGGTGCCGCTGAAGGCAACAGCTACGACACTCGAGTACCCCCCCTAAGCAATCCTCACAACGATAAAGCCCATCAGCAGAGGTGCAGGACATGCACCCCTGCAGCTGACCATCGCCACGACCTTCCAGACGCAACATCTCCAAGAGGAACTCATCCCTAAATCCAGGATCCCCCTTTCCTTGACCGGCCCAATCAAGGAGTGGTGCATCCTGTAAGTCTAGTGTAAGTCGTCGTAACTCATGAGAAAAAAGACGTACCGAGGTTGGATAGCGTTTTGCAGCGACCTTTCCAGCAACATCTGAAACCGGCGCGACTTCTTCTTCCTGAGCGGGTTGATCAAGAGCTAGGATATCATCCACACCCTCTTCGTGCAAGGCACTTGGGTTCCAATCGTACTGAGGAGGAGGGGAATCGCGAGTCAAAGTCCCTTTTCGTGGGGATGCAGGGGTCGGCTGGATGCGAAGACCATCACTGGTGATGTGGAAGGAACGGGCATGTGGAATGAGCATCTCGTCGTCAGAGTCATCGCGTAGTACAACAAACGTCTGTGTCTTGCGTTTGCCTCTCATGAGAAAATCAAGGGTCGAGAGGGATGCTTTGTCATCTGGCTAATATGGAAGCATTTACAAAGCAAATGGACTAAGATGTTGGTAAAGTAACGAAACGACGACAAAAAGTTCGGTGGAGCTAAGAATATAACTACAAGGCCTTCAGTGGTGCACGAAATATTTCAACTTCTGGGTTACCAGCTGCACGTGCGCGCGCAAGTGAGTCCTGGACCACCTTTTCAATCTCCTTGAGCACCTCTTCACAGTCCGAGCAATCTTGAGGTACCTCCAAGGTACGCATGATCTCCTGAATAGCAACGTTCATCAGAACCATCCAAGTCGGGTTTGCTGGTACAGGACCATCAACCATCGCTGGGAAACGGAAGGCCAGCCAGTGGATCTGACCCCTTAGCCACTAAGTAGATAGTATGTGAGCGGCACATCTAGACCAGAACAATGGACTGGTGGCTACCACTTTTATGATAAAACTAAGGCAATTGCCTGCAGAGCTGTGTGTATAAGTCCACAAGTTTTATGAAAGGCATTTCATAGATGTGTCCTGTGTTTTCTTTCTCATAAAACCTATGTTCTTTTCATAAGATATAGGCAAGGCCACAGAGTGCTTTTCATAATTAAACCTGTGTGCTTTCAATAGGTATTTCATTCACTGGGTTAGGTGTATTCATTGCCTTTTTCATAATTAATGGTGTGCACTTTCATTGAATATTTCATTAGGAATTTTGGGCGCTTTCATTGCTTTTTTCATAATTAATCCTGTGTGATTTCAATAAATATTTCATTCACTATGTTAGGT